GTATTGCATATCAGCATGCTTCATAGATTAGATAGTAGAGAAGGAGGATAGTGCGCTGACAAGATTAGATATGTATTGATCTATTCGCTTGAAGTCGCCCAATCTACTACTCTCCAGCGATTTCAATCGATACGTATCCAATCTTGTCAGCGCAATCTCCTACTCTACTACTATCCTAATATCCTGTCGCCTACTATCCTAATCTCCCGAGTCGCGAACTATGAACGCGGCCTAACTGAACGGCGAATAAATGAAGAGTAAAATATTAGGTACCGGATATCTTAGTGTCGCTTTTCTGAGTTCAGGAAGTTTTGGGGCCGATTACTATGGAAAATCAATATCTCAGAAGGCAGTTTTTTGCTCATTAATACTGCGAAATATGTTGCTTATTGTTTTCTATTGTTGGTTCACAATTTAACTTTCCCCCAATTTTTATACTTTCTTCTGAAAATTCCTGGGTCCAGTGTGCAAATTCGCATGTGTGTACCAAATGCATCAAAATTCTTGCTGAGAGCTGTAACCTCCGCCCACCAAACCAGCATTGCATTTGATGGAGGGAATACTACCATTTAAAATGCTCATCGGTTTTTCACAGTTTTCTTAAAAGACAGTAAAGTCTTTGAAGGGATGCCCGCAACCGTCGCCAAAAAGGTGGTCCTAGCTAAATCAGTCAAAACGGGGCTGCACCAGTCTTGTGCTGGAATGGTAGGACACCCTAGCAGTTACTGATCGATGGTGCACAGACGCTCTAACGAAGTTGATTGACCAAGAAATTCTAATAAATGTGCTCATCTGCTACTCACGTGTGCTCAAAAAGGGTGCGTTTTTGACCCTGTGGCAAAAAAGACTCCGGGAAAAATTGTCCAGTTGAGCTGGTAAGTAATAAATTTTCCACCAAACAGTGCAGACCCTACTCTAACTAAATGTATACATATTTTGTCCAGGCCCAACTGTTTAGCAAGGTAGAGGGATGATTTGTCAGATGATGTCAAATTCGACCTACCTCTCTTTTTCGTCTCAAAAAATTCCTAACTTTAATCGTACGAGGTTTTCACTCATACTGGTAAATGGGAAAGGGCTAATGAGTCATTCGATGGATATGCCGTTTCACTCACTGGATTTTGAATTAAAATATTGGTGGTCCGAAACTCGCGGTGAAAAAACGACACTAAGATATCCGGTACCTAATATAAAATGTAATAACTCGATGATGATATCGGAGCGTCAGAAACACAACATGGGGAGGGTGAGGTGAAATTTGAGGTACTCTCATTTTCTAGTTTTCTCAGAAACAGTATTAGGGGCTTTGTTTAATGTTATGCTAGCAGGCACCGCTATGCGATCGCTCGCTTCTATGTTTTACTCCCTGTACTATCATCACGTCAATTCGCTATAGCCGGCTCGACTGCGGCTTGATGACTCTTGAGACCTTTCCCTCAAAAGCCCCCCCCCCCCCCCCCCCCCTCCCCCCCCCCCCCCCCCCCCCCCCCCCGTTGACTTGCATTCAGAATCAAGAAGGATACTCGATGTAGTGGAAGACTAACCGTTAAAAAGCTGAAGTTGCCGGGTACTGATTACTGCAGCTTGCTCGGCTTCTCATTAAATTCAACGTTGGGCCTGAATGTTCAGATCAGGGAAAACATACCGTATACCAAGGGTCATGAACTTGCAGAAAACACATAATTGCCTACCGCGGGTACTACACTAAAGTTCACAATCCTCACTCCATTTTAGGGAATGGGTCTGACCAATCGCCTGTCGATGTGGCGGCCTCCCTAAAATGGAGGTGGAGGAGGTGTGAAAATTTCCAGGCACGCTGCTTCAGTATTTGGCTTGTTTGACCCCAGTTATTCCCAGGCTTGCGACATTCGATCGAATTTGTCACGCAATCATCAGGTGCTTTCGCCGGCAGCACTTTGCGTTTAGGAGATCTTTCAGCAGGGTAAACCGCCGTTTCGCACATTGAACGAGGGGAGTCGCATTTTGGGGTGGGTCAGGTTTTGGACGAGTATGGTTAAAAGTTTTGCCGAAGTAGTTGAGAAGCAATTGTGGATTTGATGATGATGATGATACCAACCTGATTCCTTCTTCCCCACTCACCCACCTCTACGCCGCTTTGGAGAATAATGTGGGCCCAGAGTTGGCGTGTATCAACTTGTCTCAGAAACAAAAAACTATAGAAAAAGCCATGACGGTGAGGGTGTTGGTCGGAGCAGGGGAAGGGGGATCGTGTAGGGGAGCTTTCTATGTAGAACTGTTTGTTCTTGAGTGAGAGTGGTGCATGAGGAGGCGAATGCATCGGCGACTTAAAGGAGTTATAAAAGGATAAAGGATAAAGCATTTGCCGTTGATCAATCCCTTTTGGGATGCGGCACGCATTCTACTTCCATTTGTACATTCGTAGTGGCGTTTGAATGCGATGTGGCCTATACAATGACTTGCGGGGGCCAGCCGATGTACAAGTCAGTGTTTTTATCCTCCCAGACAAGTCTGGTACCAATTAACCGACCCGGAGGGATGGAAGGCTTGGTTGGCCCGGCTCGACTTTCTGTAAAGTATGCGTTTTATATCCCGGGACGCCCTCGCGTGGGTAGCGCGCCAATTGTCACTACACCACTTTCGCCATTTCGTAACGTTCTAGCATTGTGCTTAATGTCTTTGATTGTAAAACTAACATGTGCTAAATTTGTCCATGGTCGAGCGTGTGGCTCAAACATTGCTTTGTGGCCCAATCAATAGAGGATGCTTGTCATAAAAGAGGAACCTAGTTTCAGGCACACTCATGGACGCGAAGGAATTCGCGCACGCACGGCAAGGAAATGGTGGAATTTTGTTGCCCGAATTAAGTGGAGGGACATACGTAAAAGGGAGCCGCTTCCGAATGTAAAGCCCGGCTACATGAGTAACGTCGTGAGTACACTCTCTCACACTAATGCCGTTGGTTTCGAAAGTTAGGTATGCCCATGACATGAACGAAGTACTGTTTTGGTCTGCTCGGATTATCGGAGACAACGGAGACACTTGAAATGGTGGAGCCTCCTTGGACAAGCGAACCAGAAAATGAACCAGCTACAGTTCTTGACTACAATAGTTTGCTTGCAGAACAAACAGTGCAGGCTCTGCGACAGGGTCATATCTAGTAATCTAGGGACGTCAGGGTATTACATGTTCACAAAAAGGCGGAGCGGCGACCGAATTCCACAGAAACAGAGAGCTGCATATATGATTTCTGGCATGTCCCGACAGCTGTTTTTCGTTCTATAGCGGGTAAAAGTTACAGGATAGACTCTCTCCCATTCTCCTTGATCATTCCTTATCCTACCCCTGATCATCTCAAGGATTCCTTGTGTAGCTATTTTCATGACCTCTACAGTAAATTTACGACCAGAACTTCACTGTCCTTATGGTAAGAGGAATTCTTCACCAACGATAATGCGTTAACAGCTCAACACTATCTACGTCAATGTTTGACAGCTGCAGCTATCGTTGTATTCATGATGGACCCTAACAATTCAGCGCTGCCAAAACAACCTTGGAATACGGCTGTCACTTTTCGGGCCTTTATCCGGTTTTCTGATAATTCTACCTCGTGTGGTGTCATCTCCGGGCATTGTCCGGGTCATGTTGTAATATAGAAACCACAGTGTATTGTAATTGCTTGCTTGTCGGAACACCTTATTGGCTATATCTTTTCTCGTTCCATCAATGCCTCAAAGGATGCAACATGCACCACTTGATAAGACATCCATGCTGAGCTGGAACCGTACGAAGAACACCTCTTCTGTGGATGGATATTCGCCAACATAAGCTCCACACTTCAACCCAATTCATCAAGTTGTTGCAGCTGTGCAATTTCCTCTGTCCAGACCTTGAAGGTTGCAAATCGGCTACTTACAAGGAAAGGCTCTCAAGTCAGCCATGGCCATTCAAGAAGGAGATGTACCGCTAGATGTGCCTTTGAACGCTGATCTCAAATCTACCTTCCAAATCTGCTAAACGATTTTCTGAAGGGAGTTATGAAGCAAAACAGCGCAACGGCAGTGGTCGGGATTTGCAGTCAAAACGTCGTAGGATCGGCCCCCGATCGCGTCTACTGTTTAGGCTTTCAGTAGTACAGCTAAGGCTTTAAATAGCCTATTCAATCTAATCCTGAAGAACGCAAGACAGTAAACGCGATCAGGGACCGATCCTACGACGTTTTGACTGCAAATCCCGACCACTGCCGTTGCGCTGTTTTGCTTCATAACTCCATTCAGAGAATCGTTTAGATTTGGAAGGTAGATTTGAGATCAGCGTTCAAAGGCACATCTAGTGGTATACATCTCTTCTTGAATGGTCATGGCGACTGGGAGCCTTTCCTTGTTAGTGAAGCGGACAATCGAAAATGTTCGGGCCAGCAAAAAAGAATGAATATTGATATACATATACTTAAATGGGACTTTGCATTGAGAAAGTGTGAGCAACGTGTAGAAGAATGCCTAAAGAATACGACCCGACTGCCTAATCCAACGTCCACTATGGAGTACTCTTCCTTGCAGTAAACATGCATCTCATTTTCTCGCATTCAGATTCACGCGATTACAAAACAATCTGGCACTACGATAGTCGAACCATATCTCGATGCTTGGCAAGACATTGTATTAAAGAGTGGCCTGAATAGTGGCACATGACTTCATTAAAATCAGAACAGAGTATACATGGCGCAGCGTTTGTGCTGAATTGGTGAATTGGTAGATAAGGGCATACTCTGTTGTAAAACATCACGGGGTCCTAAAGGCATGATCGGAAAATGTTAAGGTCATGTCTTTCAGAGTCGGCTTGTAGAAGCGTTACGGGTGTGGACAGGGTCAACCGTCCGTTGGACAAAGTCCAACGCGACGACGAGAGTAATGCCGAGAGTGAACGTACGCACGGAGACACAGACGGCTCGCGGGTGGCGAGAGTGAATGCCGGCGCGGAGAGCGGTGAACATCGGTCCAACGTCGCTCCAATATCGGTCCAACGTAACGGTTGACCCTGGTGTGCAATGTTTGGAAGCCATTCGTATGTTTCTTGTAGTTTAGCGGCGGAACACTTTGTTTCAAACTCCGCGAGATTCTGCGAAACACATCAACAAAAAATCTCGACANAAGTGAGCCGGAACGAGTGACACCTACATAAAACCGCATTTTAGGAACTTACTAGGTAAATTGACGAACCTAATAGTGAAAGCGTGCGGAGATGGCTAATATGAATGAGGTACACGGAGGAGCTTTGATTAAGACCACATCACAAAGAAAGAAAACAAGCATAGTTCTCGTGAAATAGCTAAAATCCGCTTGGGCATGAGATATATGTAGCCGCTGACGGACCGGAACAGTTTTCTTCCTTTTCTTTGGCTTTCAAGTGAGGAGATGAACAATAGCGGTAGGGCTTTGTCGCGACCGACAACTAGGCAGAGACGCAGATGGGGGCAGCGGAGGAGGTCGCAGCAAGGTTTACTATACGATCGAGACGTCTCTCTGCCAACATTCTATTGAGTCACGCCAATACAAATATGCCTGCGACTCGTCCGCCGAACCGCCTGCCGTTCGCACTATGGCCCGCTCGACCGAGCCATCCGATTGGGTACCTAAAAAAAGACCGGCTTAGAAGGAACATGACTCAAATTAGTAAACTTACGTTGCGAGGAACAGATAGAATGGCGCTTGAATGAGCGGCGGGTAGCGAGCTACCACCAGGGTGAATAAATAGTTCCAGAGCAATCCTCGACCAGGACGCCTCCTGAAACTGCTATCAGAACGGGAGCGGTTCAACAGAATCGCACGTCGTAGCTCGGCGTCCAGCGTGCGCAGCCAACTTGCGCGGCCGGCGCCGATGCAGGCACTCTGAAAACGCGGGGGATTGAATTTGTCGGCTGGAATAGCTTGAATGGCAGGTTTGAAATTTCGGCGAGTGTTGACCTGGCTTTGGTGTCCAACATCCAAATTTTCCTCTTTCTTCTTCTTCTTCTTCTTCTCCCTAGCGTTAGTCCCGCGCCGTCGCAGGGTCCGCTGTTCTTATCAGTCGTCGCCACTTCGCTCTGTCCAGGGCATCCCCTGCAGTGGCCATGATTTCGCTTAGGTCCTTCTTGACTACGTCCTTCCACCTCTTCTTTGGGGCTCCTCGCGGTCGCTTGCCTTGCGCTTCGAAGTCCATTGCATTCCTTATTGGGTGGCCTTGTGGTCTTCTTAGCACATGCCCATACCACCGCAGTCGCTGCTCCCTCACCTTCAGCTGAACAGGGGCAGTCTGCATGACCGTTCTGACATCCTCGTTCCTGACCCTGTCCAGTCGCGTCCAGCCGCAGGCCCATCTCAGCATCCTCATTTCGGCCGAGTGAAGCTGCCTTTCGTGGTTCTTGTTCAGGGGCCAGCACTCGCAGCCGTAGAGCATCGCAGGCCTTACCACTGTTCGGTACACCTTCCCTTTGAGCGTTCTAGAGCACCTTCGGTCGCAGAGGATTCCAGTGGATTCCCTCCATTTCATCCATGCCGCGTTGATCCTCCCCTTTACTGCCTGGTCCACACTGCCGTCGGCCGCCAGATCACTCCCAAGGTATCGGAAGTCCTCCACTCTTTCGATGCTTTCGCCATGTCCATCCACGATCGGCTCTGCACTCTCTTCGGAGCTCAGGAACTTGGTCTTCTTGACATTTAGCCGGAGCCCCCCTTCTGCCAGGGCCTTCTGCCACTTCTGCACCTTGGCCTGTAGTTCTTCTCTGCTATCAGCTATCAGGGCGATGTCGTCAGCGTAGAGGATGGTCTTTAGTGGCCCTTCTATGAGCCCCTTCACCATGACATCTAGTGTTAGGAGGAAGAGGAACGGACTCAGAGCTGACCCTTGATGCACCCCAACCGTGATGTTTACCTCTTTTGTTAGGCCATGTGGGGTGCGTATGGCTGCCTTAGCCCCGTCGTACATGTCCTTCACAGCCGACGACGTGTTCTGAACGTTCTCTAAGCGCTCTCCACAGTACCGCTCGTGGTAGCCGGTCGAACGCCTTCTCCAAGTCGAGGAAGGCTAGGTAACAGGGTCGCCGTTTTTCTCGATACTTCTCCATCACTTGTCTTGCGATGAAGATGGCATCCGTCGTAGACTTCTCCACAAATTCACAAATTTCGCTACAGAAACCTTCGTCACTACATTAAACAGACCGTCGCTGCCACTGGCCAAGTATCACGAGGATGCGGACGACTACTCCGTTACATTCACTCGTAGTGGAGAAAAAGTGTCGGAGCGCGGATGTAGGGAAAGCCAGAAGTGAATGTTCCGGCGCGGGGAGCGAAAAAACCTTCCTCCTGAACGTATTTCTTCGCTGTGGCTCTTCGCATTTTAAACGTGCAGTAACTTTATGTCGACCACATCGACTATACTATTATACAACTAGAGGAGATTGCGAGACTTCGGCATGAACCAAAAACGGGTTCCGAGAGGACGAAATGCCAGTAGTTGCACCTCCAGTAAATCCAACAATACTTCATTGCAGGAAATACGAACTGGAATCATCCGTTATTTTTCGCGTATTACCCGGCAGCGTGTTCCTATCCTGCAATCATTTCTGACATTCTCAGTAACGGTGTGAATTCGGCTGGATTTGACTGGGTGAGTTTGATGATTTCTCTAATGAGTTGTTACGAATTGCTCGTGCTAGGTTTTCAGAAGTCTTCTCCTTCCTATCACAGAGGCTTGAAATGAAAACGATTGGAATTGGTTGGTCGGACTTAGTAGCGCTTCCGTTACTTCAAGGTTATGACCTATTCCGTTATATTGAATGTCTCAATCGCTTACTCCCAGACAGGAAATGAGTGGCAGTACACTACTGGATCAGGAGTGACGCAAAACAGCAAGAAGAAGGGCCTCGGCTTATGTCGGCAAAAGATGCTGAATCAATTACAAAATCCTATATAGATAGGAGCCGACAGAAGGTTGACAAATGCAAAAATCCATGTTGACCTGGAGATCTCATCGCAAGCTTCACACGCGCTAAAGGCAACCGTCGCGCGTTGACACGTTCAGCCTGTCTAGACGGCTCCCAGAGGTTGATATACTCAAATAAGACCCTACGATCTTTTCCTCTTGGAGTTCTATCACTAACCCACAGCAGCAAAGAGAGCACACTGTAGCAACTGAAACGCAGCACAGCTTTCATGCTCCGTGATTCTTATGAGCCCAGGAAATTCTCAGAAGACCTGTAGGAAACGTGCCCCATAAATCTCGAAAATAGACTCCTTATAAATACCGATCCCTACAAATTCTACCAACCACTAACAACCGTAAGACACCACCGAATACGACCCAAGTTCGGCGTTATCCGCCAATAATGGTTACCCCATGCTAACAAGCACTCTGAAATTCACATAGCAGCTCCGTGACGTCAAAAACATCTGAAAGTTTCAAACTATACGGCGATACTTTCCATGAGCAAATTACCCAGGGATATACCTCAACTAGTAGGCCGATGTCATAGTTTGCGAATCGATGCGAATGCGCTAGCGAGATCGGCTCGATTCGCCAAACGATGACATCGGCCTAGCGGGAAGGTGACCGCCGGAGGTGCAGAAGCTTAGAGAGCTTAGATTACTCATTCATACGCCCAGCATGAAGCGCTTAACTCAACACCAGGCCCCACAACCCAGCAGAGGTCGTGTGAACGCTTCCCTTCAGTCTGTAGTATGGACCCTAGAGGACAATCACAAATGTGGCGTTCCCGTGCACGGAAACCAACCGACAAGAGCGCTGGGGCCTTGCAAAGTAAGCTGCTGAAGCTGCAGATTTTTTTCTCTTATCAGGCTGTTGTCTGGCGCTCTCTCATCTGTAGCGCTCTCTCGCCTCATACTCTCCTCTCCGCGCTTAGTCTCTCATTCCCTTAGCACACAGCCGATTAGGAAGGTGAGTGAGCCCTCAACCTGAGCGTTTTCGACGGATTCTTTTCCTTTTTTCTTTACACTGGTCACGGAGATTAGTCACTGGTATGACTCAATCACTACCGAGATCGTGACAAGACGGTAGATGAACCCTTTCTCAAAAAGTAATTGCAGATGTGGAATGCTGAGCCATACACAACGATCCACGCTCGATTTGCGCCCAGATCCGCTATTGACTGTACTCACCTTTTCACTACAAGCTTATTCGATATTTCAGAATTCCGTCCAAGGCCCAGGATGCGGAATCACTCAGACGACAGCCACTGAGTCAACCATGTTGGCGGTAATGTATGCCAGAGCTAGAATGGTTGATGTGAGCCTTCTTTGACTTTTTTGGGTTTTTTCTTGAACTCTGTATCTTAAGGTGTACAGTAAAGATCCTGGCTAAAAAGATCTGAAACAGATTACACGCCCGGGTATGCAGGGACCAGTCAATAGATTAAAATTGCTGCTCAATCAACCTGAGCGTTCCTCCTTGTAGCACTAGCACTCGGTTTGAGACGGAACCCGATATTGCATTGGTTGGCCCAGGGCCAATCACTGTATATGAGGTTCGGTACCCCCCAGGCCCGTCGCGCGGCAAGAAGGCCGAGTCAGCGGACGAGTCGCGCGCGTATTAGGGAAATCGCGTCAAGTTAAATAGAATGTCCCATTGCACGTCCTTCATCGCACATCACGCGCCGCGACTCGTCCGCCGACTCTGCCTTCTTGCCGCGCGATGGGCCTCCTGGGGGGTACCCATAAGGAAGAGCACAATTATATTCGACTACGTTTGCGAATAGAAGTAAAATGCGTGGCGCATCACACAAGCGCAGATACTCTGGCAGATCTTTGTAGGCCTCTATTTCTTAGATTTCGCTCATCATGTTATTTTATGCAGATGATCAAAAACAACCCAGCAGCCCTGCCTGCATGTGGAGGACTCAAGAAAACTGTGCGCCAGTTGTTGGAAGATGTTCGCCGCACGCGTAAGGTACGCGTCATTCTCAAGTCTTTGATCTAACCTTAAGCCACTACTGAACCATGAGTACGAAAAAATTCGTTCATCGCCCACTCCCCCAATACAAGTTTAGGTGGAAGAGGAAGATCCGGACGTAATTACCTCTCCATATCACGATCCTATAGTGTTCCGTAGACTGATTGCCTACTTCACAGATCAGGTGACTGCCTTTGTAAACTTTCTCGAAGGCATAGGACGGGTTCAATTTTGTATGGTAATTCCACCTGAATATGAAAGTAGGGATGCAAAATAAAGTACAAGAGTGGAACAGGGAACGAAATATCGTCAGAAGAACAGAAAATACGAACCTTCTGGCTCTACGCTGCGTAGAAGTCAAGAGGCTAAGTTGTCGCAACCCCTACAGTTGCGCACCTGCACTTCCACCCACGGGACCTCCTTAAAAGGGCTGTCTGAGTTTCGCCTATGGCCCTTGACATTCGAAAATTCTCAAGCCTAACATGCTAGCAGAAAACATCTCTCCTCCCATGATAAATACACCCACATACTATTCTGATGCAGAGCTAGCTTGTTGTCTTGCATCCCATTCACACGACTAATGTTAGCTCATTCTAGCCCACCAGATTGAAGTCTTAGTCGTCAATGCCATCTATTCTACCAGCCACCATGGGTACCTGTTGGGACAAATTTCTAGCCAAATCGAGATATTGAGCATGAAATCAAAAAAAGTACTTTTTCAGCTAACTCCTGTAATCAGTGGTATAAATACAATGCAGAAGATCTCATTTTGCGAAAATACCTTTTCCAAAAAATATTTTCAGGATTTTTAGCGCTCTAGAACCATTTAATTGAATGAACCCGAGGTTTTGGCTTCAATTCATGTCCCTCTACAATGCGCAAAAGCCGACAGAGCGCAGCATAGCCTGAATTTCGTTACCATTTCATTGCTAGGTAGATGCTATGGGGCCGTACCCTGTCCTTCCCCCAGGCGGACGTGTCCTTTGGGCGCTGATCCTGCCTTATGGTTGGTGGAGGCAGAGTTCCGTCGTACGATAGCCATACTCGGCGTTTCTACTAACTCCAGAAAGTGCGACCTCAAAGAAAAGAGTGCTTCAACAGAGGAGGTAGCTACAACATCACGCAATCGATGACGGGTCCTGTCCGTGCCGTGTCCCTGAGCTGAGGATAAAATCAGCGACGGGGACGCATCCTCCTGGGGGGGGGGAAGGATAGGGTACGGCCCATGTATGGCTCGAGCACTTTCCACACAATATGTTGGCCTGAATAGTGCACCCTCTTTCAACGCATGAGAGAAAAACCAAGGGAATTTTCTTGAAAAACGATCGGCCTGACGACGCGAAAGTTATCCATTGCTAGTTCTCGATGTCACCTATGTATGCTTCAATTGCAATCTTGCCTATCTTGAAGTGGACGTACACTCTATTTTCGG